ATTATTTGGAAATTATAATTTTAGTGCAGTGATTGGTCTCGTGCTTCTTTTTCTTACTAATTTAAAAAATTGATAATCAAAATAATTCATATTTTTACTTTTATTTAATGAATATAAACCTATAAATATTTATATAATTAAATAGATCTACCTAACAAAATTTTAAAATGTAATTTACTATTTATCTTTAGTTAAAATTGTCAGTGGCACCTTCAAGGAAAAGATCATGAAAGCGTAGGCCACTTTAAAATTGATTATTTTTATTATACAAACAAATAAAGGATAAATAACACTTTCCTCTCTTAAATAAAAATTTCACTTTTAGTACTAAAATTTATAAAAGAAATCATTCACCCCACAAATTTTAATCTGTGACACTTATCCCTCAACATTCTAGTGTGATTTTCACAAAAAATTTTAATAGATGCCATTTTTAAAGGGTATAAATGTTATTTAAAATAAATCTTGTTACTTAAATGACCAAATTAATGAGTAAATAATAAAAATTGATATTCAAAAAAAATTTAAGAAACCTAAATGCGGTTCAGACAAAATCTAATTTAGATAGAAGATATACTTTCGAAAATTAATATATATCACCCACTCATAAACTTAGTTATTGGGTTATGGAATTTACCTTAAACAGTATTTCTGTCCTTTAAAAGTCATATATATTGTGATTTTTAAAAAAAAATTATTGTAATTCTAACAGAAAATATACTTTTAAAAATTAGTTTTCATCATTTACTCAAACTTAGTTATTAAATTACATAATTTATCTTGAATAATATTTATTCATTTTAAAAATCGTACATGTTATAATTTTAATAAAAAATTTATTGATATGTTCATGCGAAATAAGTATTATGAATTTAAAATTTGTAAAAAAATAAATTCTTTTATATTTTTGTAGAAATATATATTAAAAATTAAATTTTTAAATAATAAAAAATTATTTATTGTAAAAATAAATAAATAATAATTTTAAAAAATTTAATACAAATACCAAGGAAGGAAAGCGAACAGAGCACTGCCCCAAAAGAACCCTGTGATTATGGACATTTATGTGTGTGTGTGTGTGTGCGCGCGCGCGCGCGCGCGGGGCTGGTGGAAAGGCCGGCAGCTGTCTCCACTTTACATGACTAGAAGCATGGGGCGCTCAGACGGCGGGCCACCACCACCCAACCTCCGCTTTTCATTTTAAAATAGTTTTTGTTTGTTTATTTTAATAAATAATTGAAATTAAATTACCAAATAAATTATTTTTGTAAGATGAAAATCAACTCCACTCGATCCCAACTTTTCAGCTCGTCCCTTGTATTTGCTTTGCTCTTTTGCTGATCCAACTTCGATTTCCGGGAAAGTGCCAATTCTCGGCCCCACAAAATATTAAAATAATAATTAATTAATAAATAAATAAGTCCCACCGTCCAAGCAACCGGATCTGGTGGCTCTGTCGTTCTGTTCCACGGCTTCGCGGTAACTTCGATTTTGGGCTGAATGAAAATGCGCGAATGGTCCCCCGACTTCCTTGATTTGTTCAATGTGGTCCCCTTAAGTTTATTTGGTTTATGTTGGTAATTTATCGAATGCAATACAACAACAGTTTGTAAACCTATCAACCGATGGTCTTAAACGTTAATAATTATATTAATTAAATCATGATGTGAAAATTATAACATTACTTAAATTATAACCAAAATGACGTGTATTTATTCTTTTTTTTATAAATTTTAATTTATAAATTTAAATACATGTATTTTCATCTTTTACCTTTTATTATTAACACATATTCGTGTTGCATTGCTATTTTTGTAGTGCCATCCACACCATCATTGTATTTTAGTGGGTCACCGTCAACTTGAATAAAGATACAAACAATGCATGTGATACAATATATTTAGATGAATATATTAGATTATGTTTACGTAAATAAAAATTGAAGTTAATCTTATTTTGAAAATTGAAAATAAAAATTTGTTTATTAGAAAGTTTTGCGGATTACTGGATTTCTGTGCATTCACCATATGAAAAAGTTTCATGTATAAGGGCGAATTAATAAAGACAAATGAAAGAAAGATGAGTCCCATAAGTAAAGAATTGGAGGGAACCCTTGTTTTAGCCACCAAATTATATCAAATAAATCATGTGATTAGTTGTTTATCACTACCTATTTTAATTCCCCTTCTTCGTCCTTCCATGATTGAATTGATATGAGAGTTCTCTTTCAACTCGATGCTTGGAAGTCTTTGCTCCCTGCTAATCTTCCTTATTTTCAGGCTTCATCCTGGTTTGTGAAAATTTAAAAATAAACTATTATTGTTGTTCACATATCATATTGGTTTACAAGTTCAACAAATGAAGGCATGAAGTACAATGTGCTGGTGGCTTTGAGTACGCGGATATAGAAAGATTATAATAATATAATGATTAACAATGTTAGTAAGAATAAGGGGGTTGAGGTGTAAAGGATGACAATGTTCAATGTACTTAAGCATGTTGTTATAAAAAAATTTATAATAATTACAGCTAACAATGATAGTATTGGCAAAGAAATCGAGAGGTTGAAAATCCTAATGTTGGATATAATTAAAAATTGAATTTGAAAGATATGGACGCAAATGCTTAGCTAGAAGTAAGGTTATTAATATGTTGAATTTTAATACAAAATTGATATGAAATTGATTCAAATTTAATATTTGAATTTGATTAAAATATTTGATGAATCAGATTTGATTATAAATATCTGTAATTTGAAAATAAGTAGATCGGATATGAAATTATTAATTTGATTCGTTAAAGATTTAAATATGAATTTTAATAATAATTTTTGTTAAATAAATAATTATATATAATATTAATAAATTTAAAGTTGCAGGAACTAAATTGAGAAAATTAAAAAATATAGGGATAATATGATTGATGAAATAGAGTTGAGAGATTTAAATGTAAAAGAATGTTATTTTTTATTAGATCAGGTTTTCTTTTTGAATTTTAGATTATCTATTGGATTCAAATATGATTTAACAAATACATATATTATAGAATTTTGGATCGGATTTGGATATAATATGATTAATCAAATTTTAGATTAATTATTAGATTCGAATGTAATTTAATAAATACAGATTCTATAAATTTTCAGATTATATTTGGATATGAATATGATTAATCGAATTTGAATTTACCCGATTTAATTCAAATCCAACTCATGAATAGCCTAGTTAGAAGTTTTGTCAACATTTTTGTTTTTTGTTTTGTTTATCATTGATTAAGTTAATATACCTTGAAATAACATAATAATTTGTTCTCTGTCTTTTATAAAAGTGCAAGGACTAATTGCAATTAAATTAAAGTTGAAAGACTGCATTGAACAAATCACACAAGCTGAGGGACTATCATTGTAATCCATTCTTAAAAGGTATGTAGTTGCTTGGTAGTTGGCCTTAGGATACTTTGTTTGGAAACAGGAAAAGTTTTAAAGTCGAGTTGTTTGGTTTTTGATGACATTTGAAAGAGGACATTTAATTCATTTAATTTTCATGGGAAGAATTCAAAGCTTTTCGGTGTCAAAAGCCCTTAACCATCCCTGAATAAGGGAACCAAATGCTCCCATCCAAATTATGACTTTTCAATAGATTTGAAAAAAATAAATCTTCTATTTTTTGAATAATAAATTAATATATATTATATACATAATATAATATATACACAGAAATAAGTAAATAAATAAATAAAAAAAATATCTCTGCTCTCTGTCGCAGCCGCCACAACTGACGTTGCCTCCCTAACTTCTTCTCCATTAGAGTTTTATCACGTTATAATTCAAATTGGAGGCGCCGCCTAACGTTTCAATTTTCCTTTTCTTTGGTAAAGTAAGGCAAAAGTTGCTTTGGAATAATTATTTATATTTTTGAAATTAATATTATTTATTTTTATTTAAAAGGAACTTGCAGTTTGTAGATTTCTTATTTAAAATAGAGACAAACAAAGCTAGGAAATCATATTTTTTAAATGTTTAGATTTAGATTGTACAAAATAAATTATTTTTTAGATACTTAAAATAGAATAAAAGAAATAAAAATAAATTTAAGTTAAAATTTATATATTTAAAAAAATATTTTTCTTTAATTAAGTGTCTATTTATGAAAGTTAATAATTAGTAATTTTTAAATTTAATTTTAAAAAAGTAGTTTTGTCTATTTGAGTTCGTGTTTGAGAGATTATATTTCTCTAAATTCCAGTAAAAATTTATCAAAAATAAATATACCCAAATCATTATTTTGTGTAATTACTGATATAATTATGAATAAATCAAATTTTTACTAAATAAATATATCTATAATATTTTAATTATAACTCTAATTTATCTTTACTTAAGAAATTAAGGTTATGAATTATTAAATTATATATAGTTGGAAATATTGAAATAGATAGTAAAAAATATGAATATCAGTTACATTAAATAGTATTTATAAGATTGTTTGATCTAACTAATATTTCATAATTTTTTAAAAATAATTTCATACATTAATTTATCTTGCTGTATATTAGATACATTTTTAAATATATTTTATTAAAAAATATTAATTAATAAGTCAATTAATTGGTTAATTGAGTAAATCATTAACAAATTTGGAAAAGTTGTTTAAACTTCGCACATTCTTCGGACGAATTGTCATTTTCAATTCTTACGCGGTAGTTAAGCGGAAGAAAAAAAGGACAAAAATCTATCGTGCGCACCGGCACATACACGGTGCATGATAGCGTCTGCCCGCACATCCCTTTGTCAGAACGCAGAACACGAGTCCAGCGTTCGGCTGCTCCACGTCAGCCTCTGTCTTCTTCCTTCCACCTCTGCTTTATCTCCACCAACGACGGCCCCACCGCTGGTTTCTTTCTCTCTCACCGTTGTTTTCTCTCTCTAAACTTCTAGGGTTTCTTTCTTTTCTCCTTCCTTCGTTATTCGAATTCGGACCCGGCAAGGGAGTCTCTCCGCGATGGGCTCGATCGCCGATCCCGGCGGCGAATTCAGCGAGGTGGATCCGCCGCCGAGCTTCGACGAGTTCCAGAGGCAGACTTCTCTGATGACGAGCTGTACTCTGCTATGGAAAGAGCTCTCAGATCACTTCTCCTCCATCGAGCAGGACCTTCAGAAGAAGTCAGAGGCTCTGAGACACAAGTTGAGGACTCTGGATTCTCAGACCAAGGAATCACTCCAAATCCTCGAGAAGCGCGAGCTTACGATAGACGGCTCCATCTCGATCGCCCTCGAGAAGGTCCAGGAACGCAAGGAGGCCGCTCTCGTCTCTCTCCGAGGGAAAAACGATGCAGTCGGAGGCGGTGAGGTGGATGACAACGAGGGATTATTGTTTAAGCTGCGATCGTATTGCACGAGGATGGACGCAGAGGGATTCTGGAGGTTCGTGTCGAGTAGGAAGAAGGAACTGGAGTTGATGAGGGCTCAAATGCCGGCAGCGCTGGGTGATTGCGTGGATCCAGCGAGGTTCGTGCTGGAGGCGATGTCTGAGGTGTTTCCAGTGGATAAGAGGGAGAAAAGTGAGAGGGTGAATGATTTGGGTTGGGCCTGTGTTTTGATGCTGGAGTCCTTGATTCCGGTGCTGGTCGATCCAGTTTTGGGGAATTCGCGGTTTCTGGTGACGCCAAGAATGAAGGACCAGGCTAAGGACATTGCGGAGACGTGGAAGGCGAGTTTGGACGAGCGGGGCGGGATTGAAAACGTGAAAACGCCAGACGTGCATACTTTCTTACAGCATCTAGTAACTTTTGGGATTGTTAAGGAGGAGGATGTAGATTTGTACAGGAAGCTTGTAGTTGGTTCTGCCTGGCGAAAACAAATGCCGAAGCTTGCAGTGTCACTGGGATTGTTTGACAAAATGCCTGGTATGTTGAGAACTCTTTTAATTTATTTCGAATTTTGATTTTGTTTTTCTGCCCTAACTAGTTGAATGTGACTGGTTGACGTTTGGCTAACTGGTTGTCGTGAAGTAAACCGCTTTGATGGGACTACAAATCATTACTAGAACTAGTATGAGTTCAATTCTGTAAACTGTGTTATATATTCAGGAACTAGTTCCTTAGTTGCAGACAGTAGGTAACAAAAACAGCTTTTAGTAGACCTTACAAATTAAATGGTTTTAGGTTTGTCTTAAACAATTAAGTGAAGATTCAACGACTATATAAATCTGCCCAGCATTTTGTATTCCATTCTATGGTTGGCATCGAAAAGAATTTGTTATTTGTTGCACGGTTATGTATTTCTAATTCAAAAGTGTATATCTGGGGCCTGTTTGATAATGGTTACAATTTTTTTCCCTTTATTTTTAGGGTTACAAAATAAGTAAATAAATAAAGAGTGCAAGTGGAAGAATGAGTAATGGGATAAGGGATTTGCGGGGAAGTAAAAATGAGAATTTTTTTTCCTTTCTCGTTGACAAATGTGAATATAAATTTTATGTTTGCAAAAATTTTATAAGTTATGGAAACTGGTTCCCAAAATCTCTCATTTGGCAGTCCATATATAGCGTTCTGATTGTCTCAGATCAGCACCATTTATCTTTTATGAATGCAAACAGAAACAAATGTAAACTCCGTCAAACAGGCCCTGAGCCATCCAAACTAATCCCAAAGTTTTACCCATCTATTTCCATAACTTTATCTTTAGGATGAAAAAAATCTAGTATTAGGGTGCAAAATAAACATGGATCGAAATATTACTGGAAATATGTTTTTATAATATTAATTTGAAGAAAGACATTGATTAGACTTTATTTTATACAGTTTTGTGTGAATAAGATAGCTTTTAAAGATTTATGTATTCTAACAATAGACTTTGAAATCTACAATATCTTGCCAAATTTTTAGGAGATAATGCTCTTTGATGGATTCTTGATCCCGTTCTACTCCTCATCCTACATACAGGAGCTGTGTTGGTCCTGTCTGTGGAGGATTTACAAGGAACTAGTTGTGCACATATAATCTCCATTGCACCCTCTCTGGAAACAGGAATTATGTTGTATTCCTTTTTTTCACCTTTTAATTTCTTTTCACAGGCTGCTGATGCAGCATGGGCTTCCACGTTTGAGAGAGAGAGAGAGAGAGAGAGAGAGAGAGAGGAACATTGACTGTTGCTCTTACTGAAGTTTTCCTTCTGCACTTTCGCTACACCCTTCCCTCTTCCATTTGTTGAAGCTGCATGCAACTTGCCTTCATGGAAAGCTTCACAGAAGCACCTACAAGGAAGATCATTCCCTGATGGTCTGTAATTTCTTGTGTGTGAAAGAGTTTTGGATGCTTGTTGAATGTGCTTAAGTGGAAGGCTAGGAAGCATGGATACTTCACTGATGTGATATATCCTTGTTTGGCACATATTGGACGTATATACTTCACAGGCGTGTGTGTTGGAAATGCGTGTCTAATTTATTTTTTATTTTTCTTTCTGTACGCAAATCCCTATGCTTGGAGACATGTGTCCTCATGCATAGACAAACATGTTTTATGTTAAATAAGATTAACTCAAGATTAATCTTTTGCAAGAAATTAAACTGATGTTTGGGTGCATTCATGCCCATATGCATTTGCATGCTCTTAGGAAAGAAGTGATTGTTATAAAGTTCATGTTAAGGGGGTGTTTGGGATCACTTCTGAGAAGTGATTTCTCTGTTTTCAAGACTCAAAAGTGATTCTAAGGTGTTTGGGAAGAAACTTTTAGCTTAAGCTGAAATTTGAAGATGGGGGTAGGGGTGATTTTGCTTAAATGGCATATTTGTAAATACTTAAAAGCTGTTTTCCAAACATACCTAACTTTTACTTTTAAACACTTTTTATCTGCTTCTGCTTAATCTACAACTTCTGATTTTAGAGAAGCATTTGCAAACACCTACTAAGTGGTGTTTAAGTAGGAACTAATCAGTTTGATTATTGGGTATTTATCATTATTTTTGGTCATTTTAAAATATTTTATTCATAAATGTGATGAATACAAATATTAAAGACTTGGATCTTTTGGTTGTGTCTCTGCCATGTTGTTGTTGTTACTTTTTCAAAGTTGTCTTGTTATTGTGGTCCATGCTTTTTAGGTGGAGAGTGTTGCCATGGGTTCAGTCTTTTCTAGTGTATGGTGTGTCTAAGGTGTGATGCTGTGAGCTGAAGAAAAGGTGCTTGGCAGTGTTGGCACCTTGTGATGAGAGCTTGGATGAGTGTGCAGTTTTGTGCAAGGGTGTAAGCATTTAATTGTCTTCCTTTTTTCTTTTCAACTTTTTTCTCTTGAATTGTGGTCATGTTCAAAGACTGTCTCTTGTGCATCTAGGGATATCAATTCTGTAAGCCTTTTTGGTTATTTAATGTCAAAGTATAGTTGTTAATAAGTGAATTCTGCTTTTAAGAGGGTTCGAGAAACCTGATCTTAGGGGCATGTTACTGTGTTCATATGAATTTAAAATGACATTATATTGATCTTAAGTGTTGGAGGTAGTGCACTAAACTTCTTTTGATTGTTGAATCACTTCTTATTGATGCCAACATACATGTATTTAAGTTGATCATATGGAGTTACATAATGATTGGAGTGACTATTGACCTTATCAACTTGTTAAGCCCAAATCATTGTCCTCAAATGCTTAAGCCCAATTTCTGTAATAATAATCCTCTAATTTTTTATATACCACATTACTGCACACTTATATTCTTATGTGGGACTGGATATCACAATCTTTCCTTTTTAAATCCTTAATGTTTTTGTCAAGCCCAGTCTAAAAGCTTTAACATGGGATGAACAATTTATTCTTGTCATGAGGGTGTGCCATCTTAGGCCATGAGAAATATGGATAGTCCTTTCAATTTAGGCCATCCTCTTCACTTGTAGATTGCTTGTCTTAGGCCAGTAACTTTTACTTATTTTTCCTTGAACCACCTCCACTCTACTAGAGATGGCACTGATACCATTTATAATGACATGAGATGTCACTAGTTTTAGCAACTTGTTAAGGCCAAACCAATTACCTTGTAGATTGCATGTCACAGGCCGCCAACTTTTGCTTATTTTTCCTTGAAACACCTGCACTCTATTAGAGGTGGCTCTGATACCATTTATAATGACATGAGATGCCACTAGTTTGGTGGAAGGGTAGAAACAAAAGGATGGTAGAGAAGTTTAGAGGGAACAGAATTTGGATCCTTAAGGTAGTGATTACGAAATATGGAGGATTTGAGGGGGAAGTTCTCTATCCTAGTTGTTTCCTTCCCTCATCTCCACCAAATGAAGGAAACGTCAAGTGTTCTTTCATTTTTCCTGACCAAAAGGGGCAGGCTTCTGACACTGTCAAAAATATATTTGATGACTGACTCAAACCCACATCTCAAGTTGTATAAGCTGCTGATGTATAATTTAGTTGCAAGCTTTGGCTTTGTCATTGAAATTAATTTACATATCTTTTCTGGGCCTGAACATTCTTGTATAATTTAGTTAGACAGTTCTGACATAACGTATTTAGCTAGACTCTTGTGAGTTTTGTATCACCAAAGCATGTTATTTTGTTATTGCTTTAGTGGACTTGTCCTTGTATGATAATGTTGGAGATTGATGATTGAGTTGGACGCCTGTGTTTGCAGAGATGATTGAGGAATTAATTAGTAGAGGACAGCAGGTTGATGCAGTCCATTTTACCTTTGAGGTTGGGCTTGTGGATAAGTTTCCTCCTGTGCCACTACTGAAGGCTTTTCTGAAGGATGCAAAAAAGGCTGCAGCTTCTATCTTGGAGGATCCTAACAATTCTGGCCGAGCTTTGGTATTTGTTTCTTTATTTATTTTTATTAGTTAATGATGTTTTATGTTTTATTAGTTGTTTTATATGTTACCTTTATGTAGGAAAAAAATTTTCCTTCATATTTGGTTATTTCCGTTTTTTCTAACCAGAGGAGATGGCAAATTGTATTTTTGGTCCAAAGTTGCACAAACTTGTTTAAAAGTAGTATCTTTAGGATATCCATGATTTTCTTGGGTGTAGAGCTGCAACTTGGGTTGCTCAAGTGGTCTTTGAACACACCTAACCTAAGTTGCTCAGTGCTATAGCTATTCGTGAAGTTGTCTAATCAGTTTAAAGGAAATAAATTATGTCAGGTTGGGTTGGGTTTGAGTAACTCTATGATGATTTGGGTTGGGTTGGGTTTAAGTAACCCTATGATGATTTGAGTTGGGTTGGGTTGAACCTATGATTTTCAATTAATTTGGGTTGCTCTATTTTCAACTTTAATAAGATAAGATGGGACTGATAGCATGGCATTATTTGTATGTTATAATGTGTTTCTTTGGGTGTACCATTAATGGTGGGACAGTATAGATGGGGCACAGTCCAAAATATGTGGCCTTGGTGCCTCCCAAGTTTCTCCTTTTGCAGGTTCCTCTAGCTTCTGTTCATAACATGTTGACATAGGAATGCACTCTCTAAAACAATGCCAATTCTTTTCATTTTTCAGCATCTAGCTGCACGCAAGGAGCAGTCAGCACTTCGGGCTGTGATCAAGTGCATTGAAGAATACAAACTTGAGGGTGAGTTCCCTTCAGATGATCTCAAGAAGCGCCTTGAACAATTAGAGAAGGCAAAGAGCGAGAAGAAAAGGACATCCCCTGTTGTCCCTGCCAATAAACGAACACGAGCAAGCAATGGCGGTCCAATGCCACCTGCCAAGGCTGGCCGATCCACTAATGCATCCTATGTGTCGTCTTTCCAGCTGCTGGGCCAACGTTTGTCCGCTCTCCCTCACACTCTCCATACCAGGCCGGAGTCCCACCATACCCTGCTGCCCCAGCGATGTATGGAAGCAGGAGCCCTCCATATGCTTACTCACCTGAATCAGCCCCTCCTCTTGCCGGGTCATATCCAGTGAACTATTCCCCATATGGTGGCTATGGCAATGGTGTTACACCAGGTTATCAGCACGCCTATTACCGCTAGATGTGACTACTCTGAAGATGGTAACACTGATGTGAGATAACCCTAATCTAAAAACCTTTTTTTTTTTTTTACTCTGTATGGTTTGTGATCACTAACCTTTTAATGGTAGCGATGTGTGTTAATCCTTAATCTCCTCGTTTTACACTGCATCTGGACTTCTGTGAGGATGGGTACTATTTTCTAATGTTGATTAAGAAAGCAATTAAGAAAGCTTGTGGAAAGTAATTAAGAAAGCTTCTTAACAGAACCGTTCTACCATGATGGCATATTTTGGCATGGGATAAGCTTTTGTTGCACCATCCTTCTTTTGTTCTTTTGTATCTTTCTTACTATTTCTTATTACAGAAGCGGTCCCCTTCTGGTTGAATTTGAAGTTCTATACATGTGTCTTGTAGGTAATTACCTCGAACAGACAAGGTCCGGAGAAAATTATGTTAATATACATCTCAGAAAGTAAAGATTATGGAATAGTCCTTGCGGGAGAAATGGATTGGCTTAGGTGTCATGTTTTGATCTGAAGTACGAGTGACATGTTGAGTGAATCTAAACGCTAAAATCTATTGTGAAATTTGGAGCTACTTAATACACCTATAATAGGGCGAGGCGTGTCACAAGGATTAGGGGATGTTAGTACAACCCAAACATGTAGATAAGATTATAAGAACACGATACGTTTAGGTTAATAGATTAAATAAGGGTGCTTACTGTATTACTAATTAGAGGAAAAGAAAATCATTGGTGTCCTAGTGGAGATGGAGACCTCAGCAATGAAGAAAAGGGATGGATATGATGAAGATAGATCTATGAAGCACTGCTACAGACCGAAATCTCCCATGTAGTTTAACGTAAATGTACTTCTTCTTCTCCTTCTCCTTCATACAAAGCTTTATAGTAACCCGAGATGATACAGCATATTCAACCTCCTAAATTTCATATGGCATGTAGTTAGACCAGTTACTCTGACATGACATAAATCTCAAAGTAAGCATAATTTATTTTCTTTTTTTTTAATATTTAAATCTTTTCTTTCTAATAATTAAGGTGAAGCCTACCTCAGAGGCGGGAGGCGGGAGGAGGGAGGGGGAGGGAAGGCCTTGAAGAGCAAACATCCCACTCGCAAATAAGCATTACTCATGATTCATGAGACACTTCTCAAACTACTAATTATTTTTGGAATAGAAGCGGCGACGTCATCCTTAAAAGTGATTTTTCCAAATTACTTAGACCAAGCAATTTCTAATTTCGGATGTTTCAATAATGTGTTCATTTGAATGATTGTCTTTTCTTGTTAGTTTTTAAAATATATTGATGATTTTTCTATATCAAATATAAGAATAAAATTAAAATTTTATTCCATAATATTTTTTTTGATAAAAATCTTGAATGTAATAAAATAAAACCCCTTAAATAATACAACCACCAAATAAATAAATCTATAGTTCATTTTTTTACTAATTAATGCCTTTGAGAATAATTAATGAGGACTTCCATTATTAATTAACCAACTTATTTAAAATTCATAGTGTAAGCTTGGAAAAATTTGAAGAGAAGACACTTTTTTTTTTATAAATTTCAAAGCAACTTTTAGAGAGTAATTATGCAACTTAAATTTCAAAGCAAATTAAATTAAGTTAATTTAACCCAGATGGGGTAAACTAATGAAACCAACCAAAACCACCGCGTCCACCTTCCCTGCGAAAGTCCTCCGTTGCAGGGTCGGTTGTCACTTGTAACTGGGAGGTAAGTCTGTTCATATGTCGGCTCCGCCTCCAAAGACTGAACAAGCAAACAAACCGAACCTGGCCGGTTCTCCATCAACTGCTTGTAATTCGACAGTGACCGCCATTTCACGTTCCCCCAGCCCCCTCCGTCCGGCATGGGTTTCTTTGAACCTCGGTGAACTCAACCTCGATGTTGTTGCGGCTGTATGTACGTTCTCTCTACGCCATAAAATTTGAATTTTTACCATTAGTATCTCTCTACTTTTTCCGTCTGTTCTTCCTTTCCTGTATGATGTGGGAAAACATTTCTCAAACCGCAAACCAAAATTTGAAGTTTGAATGGTGCTTGTGGTCGGTTTGAATATGTAACCTTGGCGTCGCGATGTCTGTAGGTCGGCTTAATCCGTGGAGATTCTCTTATGTTCTTCCCTATGTTTTAATTGTTTTCTTCAGTCTCCCTAACTTTCGCGTTTTGATTTCGAGTTCACCGTGAAAGGCTTTATTATATTAATGCTTCCATAGACAACATGACAGTTGTTTGATGAAATGTCCGCAAGATCTGCGTTGCAGACAGCCACAACTTCTTTATATGGTTGACTGAGGGAGCTAAAGGATGGCTTTTTTTCTTTTTTGGCTTAGAATAATAAATTATTCGCTATGCCTTTTATTTTGGGATCTGAATGCTTAATTACCCATATATGTATACATATATGCTCTTGCATACCCGTGAATTTCTAATTCTATTTGCTTAATTGACCAAAACTTTTACTTTGTGCATTTTCTCCTAGATAAAAAAAGAAGAAAAAAACACTCTGCATTCAGCAATAAGTACAACTAATTGAATCCTCGTATGTGTATATATATGGGTTTTCCCATATGATCTCCTCATTCAAGCCACCAATTTATTGTTTCATGTCAAAGTTTTGTTTTTCTCAGTGCTAAGAAGTGAACATATCTTTGATTATTATTTAATATTTTAAGCCATAGTTGTCTCTTACCTCAGGACTAAACTGATATGAAACAAGAACTTTCTGGCATTGCCTGATCAATATGCAGAAAATTCAATTTGGATTCAGCAAGTCTACCTTGAGAGAATTGAGGAGGAAATTAGTGATTTTAGTCTTGGATGTATTTGCTCATGAGTTTCTGTATTTAGGGTGCGCTTGACTGTTGATTTATTTCAAGCCAACCTTGATATATTCCTCCCTTTCTATCCTTAATATTAGAGATGTGGCAGGAAAGGTAGTGGTGAAGGTGAAGGCAAAAGGCAAAAGGCAAAAGGAAAGAGAGAAGGACAGTAAAAGAAGAACCTTGTGAACCCATGGAACTTACTAGTCACTCCCCTAAATATCCCCTTCCCATTCCCACTTGTTCTGTGTCATTCTTAATTTGAAAGTCATTTCTCTGCTCAGAGATAAATAACTTCTGGCCTCTTTTAGGATGAAAGAATAAGTTCTTCAGAAGAGAAGAAGTAGCAAGCCCTTCAACTTGCCACTGAACTCAATCACTTCTTTTCTGTTAAATGATTATTGCACTTCTTTAAATTTATTTGTTATATTTAGATGCTGTTTATTCTTGATTTTGCATGTTTGCCCTTTATCGTCTAACTGTACCATAGTTGTTTTTGTTTTTGATTCTGTCAGAAAGTTCTATAGTCCTTCAGCTACCTGCAACTGTTGGTTAATAGTGTTATTAATTAAATTGCATTGGACTCGAGTATTGGTTGGTGGAATAAGGGGGAGTCCTGCCTATTAATTCAGAGAACTGGATTTGGAAATAGTTGGTTAATATGGATATAGTTATATGCTATAGACTGATAGAGGTTTGTCATCAACAGGAAAAGTCAAGTGTATTGAAGCTACACCTTTTCATTCTGTTGTATAATCCCAGTCACCATAGTAAGACAATGGGTTACAAATAAAATCTAAAGAATAGGATAAAAAAATGAAAGAGTAGTAATAATTTCAACACACCATCAGTTTTATATTTGATGAAGTTGTTTATCATTTTAAAAGCAGTTTTATTGATTCACCTAAAATTAAGCCCTGCAACTGTGGCAATCAGTACTCTTTTTAATTTTCTTTGATTAGTTTGGAGAAAATTCATTCTTGAATTCACTAAGTTAAATGAATTTCAAGGACAAAATCTCCTAAGTGGGGGAGGATTGTAACTCCCACAGGAATGACAAGGGGTCAAATTTGTTATGTAGATTTGTTTGATTTGATTTTCACATTTATATTTTTATTTACATGCATATTCACATAAGCATGACATTATGATGAAAATAATATGTTTCATTCCATGCATTTTAATAATTTCAGTTATTGATTTAATTAGAATCATGAAGTTGATACAATATTTGTACGTATTTATATGCATATGTGAACTAGATGGATTAAATTTTAGAATCTAAAAATTTACAGCGGTTAAACTAATTATTTAGATGGATTTATTTGGGGAAATTAAATTCTTAAAGTGGGTTACTTATAATATTAGAAAGTTGGAGCAACTAAAGTGCAAGATGAGAGCATATTTTAAAATGTTTGCCCTTTTTCTCTCTATAACCCATACAACCCACCTACATCTTCTCTGTTTCATCAGTTTCTTCCTTGGATTTCTTTAAACCTCACCCATCTACTTTGCACATCAAACTTCATCGACACTTCACTATGATTTGACCACATGCTCCTTACATCCCATTGAACTTAATTCTAGAAGAGATTTTACAAGAGAAGCTTAGAAGAATTGGAAAATAATTGGAGAAAGTATGAAAAATTAGGATTCTGGGGTTTCAAAGAATTGGAATGTGATTATCAAGGGGTTGCTAGAAATCACTTCTACCATCACCAAACAACTCTTTAAGGAGGTAAGATTTTCTACCCAAAACATGATTTTCTTTACTTTCATGATTTTATTTATTTTTTCATGAATTTTAGTGAGATATAGCACTTCAATACATTCTAGACTATTGGGTATGGTTAAAGATATGTAAAATTAAATTTTTGGTGTGATTGAAACCTTTTAGGTTGTGAAATTTTTGGTTTCTTGAGATATGATGTCAGAGAATAGTTTAAATCGATGTATAATTGTTTGATTAAGTGATTTTTGAAGACAATTAAGATTTTTACATAATTTTTGGAGTGCATTTGTTAGTCTTATGAAGTATATACCTATGAGTTTCATGAATAAGGGCATGTTTGGCATGCACATAATATGTTTATGTTATTTAATTATCTCATTCCATTTCACTTCATTTTAGTTAGCTAAATTCTTATCCTAGAAGACAAGGCATGCAAGTCATGAGTCAATATTACTTTCTTGGTGTTTGTATCTTAGGAGAATATGTAGGATTGGAGTCAAACCCTTGGACCTTTATGGCAAAATTTGCCCTGTTTCATGTGAGTGGATAATAATTGAATAACCTACGAAAATTTCCATTTTGTGTTGATTTATTAATAAATTATTTCAGTTAGTAATTATAGATATGATAAAATTTCTAGGTACAAATTTAATTTCAATATCTTGTGAGATGGAATGAAATTTTAATTGCATGCAAGTAATGATTCAGTTATGAACCCTTCTGTGAGCATTGCTAGGGATGGTCAGTTTGCACATGGAGTTTTCACAATACTATCATTGTGGATGGTCAGTTTGCATGCCTGGTTAGTGTACTAGAGTTATTAGCCCTTGAGAGACAAATATACGCGAGTATATTTATTAATAGTTACGGAGGTACCAAATCACATAATCACACACACACACACACACACACACATATATATGTCTGTGTGTGTTAATTTCATACGAAGTCGTGATTAAGACTAAGACTTGTAATGTGCTTATGCAATGTTATGATTGTTAAGCCCATGATTATATTGAACAATTATTACTAGAAATATGATATTTTATTATATGATACAAGAGTTAATCTGAAGAAATTAATACTTTTGAAACATATTGAATCTTCGGTTGCTTGATTATTTTTCATTCAAAGGTCCTTATACTCACCTTTTAACATCAGTTTTTGAACATGTGGTTAAGCCCAATTTTGTCCATAGTTGTATAGTCACATTAGAAGCATGTAGCATTTTGTTTGCCTTCATATGTGCATATCTAATGTTTTGGTTAATTCTCATGTATAGATTTAAAGAATGGTGTGTCATGTCCACATGTGCATTGCACATCAGGAGGTCCAAATATTGAGTTATAATGGACACGTGGAACTAACTAATATTTCTAAATATGTTACTATGTTTGACAGGACTTTGAAGTGGCCTAGTTGCTCTGTTATGGCAGAGGTGTTGCTTTTCAACTTGAGAAGTTGCACTTCCTCTGAAAACAGGGGCTTCAAAAGTTATACGACCTTCAACCTTTTTTGGTCTTTGAGACTAGGGGTAGACGAATATTTGCAGTTTGGACAAAGCAAACCCTTGTTGATGGGATCTCTGGAAGTGTAACTCAGTTTTCTTTTTCTTTTGTGCAGATGCCATATACAGGAAGCTATGATGCATTCAGGTCACAATCTTCTTGGTAAGAGAGAAGCGAATATTTGATAAGACATTTTTTTCCCACAGCATCTTGATGAATTACTCCTTTCCATTCTGTCATCCATATCCTTCTGTCAATCTAATCAACAATCTCTACCACTATTCACCAACCTAAATGACACTATCACTGTGGAGAAGATGCACACGCATTTCACCTGTGGTGAATCCTTATTTTCTTTCAAAAATTCTGGATTTTTCTTCAAGTGCATCGACTTTTCCTGATCATGAAAGTGTAGCAAGTCAGTCGTGGGAAATTAATGACAAGAGAATTGCTTGTGAAAATGAGAGTGATGGACTTCATCTTTCGCCATTGTTTTGGCGTGGTAGACCACATTTGGGTGGTTGCAAAATTGAGCTAGTAGATGCAGAGGCATGGCAGGTTCCTCTGGTTTAGCCGAGGCATGGAGAGGAACAAATATGGCGTTGGATGGAAAGAGTTTGCCTGTGGAAGCAACAGAAGAGGTGGTTAATTCTTCCCTTCCTAACAAGGATGACCCAGATTTTGATGAGATTGAGGATATGAGAATTCGAGGAAATCTTTTTTATAAGCTTGATAGGGATTCCAAAGAGTTTGAAGAATACAGTTTTGACTTCCATCGAAGAAAATCTTCCAAAAGTAAATATAACAATGGAAATAATGAAAAGAAGAAATCCTTAAACAACAGCCTGGCCTCCAGAGTTGAAAAGCCCTCCAAGGGTAAGGAAGTGAAGAGAGAAGGACGAAAGATGGAGAGCCTGGCAAGTAACTTGGCTTCTAAGGGTAAGGGAGTGCCCTTAGATGTTCCAGATGAAAATTTTACCTCCTCACTTAATGAAATGGACAGTTCTTGTGTTGGAAAGAAGGTGAGGACTCCCACTTTCAATCAGCTTACTGCTCCTTACCATGAACCATTTTGCTTGGACATTTACATATCAAAAGGGTCTGTGCGAGCCTGCATTATTCATCGGGCAACTAGCAAGGTTGTTGCTGTGGCACATTCTATCTCCAAGGATATGAAATTTGACTTGGCGTCTACAAAGAATGCTAGTGCTTGTGTTGCTGTGGGCGAAATATTAGCTCAGAGAGCTTTGGCTGATGATATCCATAACGTGGTTTACACACCAAGGAATGGGGAGATACTGGAGGGGAAGCTTCAAATTGTGCTTCAATCCATAATCAATAGCGGTATCAATGTGAAGGTTAAGATTAAGCAAAGAAGAAAGAAAGCCAGTTACACCTCTGCTGCTTAGGGTCACCTTCACCCAGTTTTTATAAGGATCCAATTAGCTCTCTTTCTTTATGTAATTACTCGTTTTCTAGCTCCAACTGTGTTATTTGCAACAGTTTAAGAAATGATATAAAGCTGAGACAAGAAATCAATTTCTTAGGTTTGTTTGGATTTGTGATCTGTTTTGTATTTTCTGATATCAATAATTGCGTTCTGTTTTTTCCAGAACAGAAAAAAGTAAAAATTTTGAATACTCTAGTCATAACTTTTTCTTTCCAAGTAAAATAGTTTTACGATTTCCAAAACCTACTTAATCTTTTGTTTTTTGGGTAAAAAAATGTAATCCCGGAAACAGTTCTAGAAAACTTGCCAAATGGGTTTTCTTCATTTCCAAAAGGAGAAAAACTGTATTTAGGAACAAATCCAAACAGCAACACAAATGCACTGCCAGGAAGTGGCTTCCCCCAAAACAATAGGAAGCCTGTGTTCTGCCGTTTCTTGACTAGACCAGAGAGGAAAGGGGAAATACTAGAAGTTATGGCAAAATGAACTTACCGCCATCTCAAGATCTCAATGTTGAGGGAAAAGCAATAACTGGATCTTGGATGTGGCTAGAACATATTTCTGTACCTCGTTAATCGGTGGTTCTGTACTTATGGTTATTTTGTTGAAGGAATATTTGTTATGCCGGGTGTTATTTGTGTTCAAGGGTCTGTTAATCGTTGAATTTATAAGATATATTTAAACATTTGCTCGGCAACAATTTTGTGAATGAACAGAACTGCTTCTTTCCATAAACTTGCCAATCTTATTGATTCAATTCAAGTGCAGATGCAATTGTCTGGAGATTTCATGGCTTTCTTCTTTTGGCAGCGTTCATACTATCTCTGTTTATAACCGAAGATCATGCATCTTCTTTAGCATATGACCAGTTCGGTCATTGGCCTATCGACCCCTTCAGCATTGATGCAACCCATTCTGGGTTTCATTTTGAAAACAGTTATGTTTTCAGAAACATCCAATTGGCTGGTTGTTTTTCAGAGAACATGCCCAATTTCAGAAAATATGGAAAAATGTTGTTTTCAAATATATCACATAAATTATTTTCGGTTACAAAGTAATTGAACTTCTAATATAGGGTTGAATTTCACATTTTAAAGCCTTGGGTTTCTTAAAAACTATTTTCACTTGAAAACGAAAATGATACCAAAATGATAATTTCCAAAACTTTCTCGTCTTCTCTATTCTTAGAAGCGTGGAAAAGAAAAAAAAAATGAAAAAAAGGAAATCCGAGAAGATAAACATAAAATATAAAATAAATCCCAAAAAGCAACACTGGCAATTCTTTGCTCTGGTCAACATTTTGAAAGCAAAGAGAAAAATAGTTGGATTCATCTTTCTCGCACGAATTCAAAACTTAAATTTTTTCTTTTTCGACTGACCAAATAAGAAAAATAAGACTTCAAATTGAGCACTAATCACATAGAATTATCAATCATTGGCAGTTGCCAGTTGCAGCGAGAGCAGCTCTTCCTCCTGGATCGTCCTGATGCGACAATCGGATCTCGGGTACGAGGCGCACAACAGAGCATACCCACGCTCTACGACGTCGTCGCTGAGCATGCCTTCGCTCTGGTCGACAGCGCCGCTGACAAGTCGCGCCGGGCAGGTCATGCACACGCCGAGCTTGCAGTCGTGAGACAGGGAGAGGCCCGAGTCTAGTGCCTTGGATAGAATCGTCTCGTCAGGATCCACCTCCAGCTCCGTGGCTTGACCTTCGTGCTCGATTACCACTTTGTATGCCCGGACAATGGTGTGCCTGGCCCTGGTCGTCCGGAGGGTTGTCCGGAGGTTTAGCCGCAGGAGGGTGGGTTGATGGGTGTGGTTTCTGAGCCTAGTGAGGCCGAAGGAGGGAGAAGTGAAATGGAGGGTTGCCATGTGTTCTTGTGCGGGAGTAGAAATGGGGGAACTCCTGTGGGTGTTTGGAAGATGGGTGGTGCTTGAGAGGATAACGTTTTTGTCTAGGGCTGAAGGGATTTCCATTTTTTTAAAGAAAAAATTGATTATATTATGAAATTTAAAGCAAGCATGGGTGGGAAAGTAGAGAGTTGAAAGAAGAGACGTTGAGGACAAAAATTTATTTTTTTTATCCTTCTATATATCGTGCATTCTATTTATAGTATTATAAGACAAAAAAATAGATCATCATATTCATTCTATTTTTAAAACGAATAATAAAAGAATCACCTTAGAGTTATGAAATGTATTTATATATGTATATTTATAAAAGAAAAATATATATACCTGTATATAAATGAATGGAGGATATACATCCATGAATAAAAAGAAGACGACTATACACATTCTTAGATGGGTATAGATATCCATAAAATTCTTTAATATTTATAACACTCCTACTTAAATATCTATTTCTTAGTTAATGTGCCTCGTTAAAATTTTACTAGGAGAAAATTAATGTGGTAACAATCTAGTAAAGAAAAAAGAGTACACAATGTTTATGTTATATTTTTTGTATACTTTCTTTTACTAAAAACTTTACCAAGAAAATTCATTGGGACAAAAGAGTGGTCCCAAAAAAAAAAAAAAAAAAGAATACAGCATGTACCTTTTCCCCCTTATGACAATATTACTTGATATTCTTGAGACCATGTATCTCCATATTATATACTAGTGTGACCCTTGACCTAATTCCATGGCATTTGACTATGAAGGTGGCCACCAAAGACCTATTGAGGCACCAAGTTAGTTGGACACTAAGGGCTCGCCTTGTAGGAGGACTTGAGGCATTTTCCTAGGCATGTCTCATTGAAAACCCGAGTCGAGTGCTGGCCTGACCCAAGGCACACCTCGTTGCGGACCTAAGGCATGCCTTCATGAGGATTTGCGCCTTACCCCAAGTTATGCCCCTACCCAAGGTGTTGGAACTTTCTTGGGTGCCACTTTTCCAAATTGTCTATATAAGGGGATGGATGCCCTTTGAGTGTTGTACACTATCTTATCCAAGTTTTCTCTAAGTGAATTTGCTTCACTTCACTTTCCTTTGTGCCTTCACTATTCTCTTGCTTAGCTTGCCGTGTGTGTGTGTGCTTGCTTGCTTGACTAACCTAAGTGAGTGAGAGTGAGGGTGAGCTTGTGGGCTATCTGTGGGTTGGATAGGTTGAGTGGAGATTGACAACCTCCATTGCTGCACAGGGGGATTGAGTTGGTCACCTAGAGTTGTTTTGTGAACTCCAACCACGTGACAAGTGATATAAGAGTCAGACTGAGTACTTTATGTTAAGTATGCTACCTTGCTAACTCTCGATTCACAATTTCCTTGCTGGTTCTTCGACTATCTTTCTGCCGAGCTTGAAATTGTGTTGCTGCCTCATGTCCTAAGAACATGTCTGGTGGTTGTGACCTTGCTCGTAAGGATATGCCCCATTCACATAGGGAAGGCCCTATGGACTCACTAGAAGCTAGGTTTGACCTAGCGGGTGGGACCATTGCAGAATTGTCATGGTTGATATAGAAATTAGTGGAAGAATTCCATGTATTATGTAAGGAAGTGGCTAAACAAAGGGGAGATCACCTCTCTTTAGCAAAGATTGTATAGTTAAGGGGCTTGTCTCCAGGATGTTGAGACAAAGTCAAAAAGGGCCTTGAGTAAAGTGGACTCTCTAAGGGCAGACCATAGCCTGACCATGGCTAGATTGTATTAAGTGTACGAAGATCTAGATTGCCTCAAGCCTAAGGTGCTTAGTGAGGAAGATGAGACCTATTGAGGAACAAGTTGCATGCTCTCAAGGGTTAGGTGGGCACCCTTTCGGCATTGAATGTTGGCTAGGCTATTGTGGTGCAGATGACTTGAAAGGTGGATATTCCCATGCTTGCCCATTTTAAGGGCAAGTGGGAGGCACATGAGGTAGACAACTTCTTGTGGTTTTAGGAGACTTACTTCTAGAATGCTACCATCACTTTGGATATTGAAAAGGTAAACTATGCTTCCTCCTTCCTCTCAGATTATGCCTTGTTTTGGTGGAGGAGTTTAAAGGAAGAGGGGGCGAGCATGGTGGGCACATGGGAAGGATTCAAAGACAAGTTGAAGAAAGCTTTCATCTTTTTGAATGCAATGTTCTAGGCCAAGGCCAAGATGAGGCACTTGGTCCATACTGGGAGTATCCAAGAGCATGTGAGGGAGTTCACTCGGCTCATGTTGATCATCCCTAAAATGGGTGATTATGATAAATTCTTATCATTCACAGAAAGAATGAAGCTTTAGGCAAGGCAAGAATTTCAAATACCTTTGCAAAGGTCACCATCATGGCCAAATGCTTGGAGGAGTACAAGACAACTAAGAAGCCCAACACGTCCAATACAAGCAAAGGATGGGCCTCCCCACCCAAGACTTGAGGGCAAGAACAAGGGAAAACAGACAATGAATTAAGTGGGGGAGTGAAGCCTCACTAGTAATTCAGAATAGAAAGAGAAAGGAAAGGCCAAGATGGATGGCCAAAAAGGAGGCTATACCCTATGGTGTTTCCTTTGTGATGGACCTCATGTTGTCCATGAATGCCCCAACAAACAGAAATTGGCCTCTATTCACTAGATAGATAGTGGGAATCAAGCTAAGGAAGTGGCGGCTTCCTTTAGCACTTTGGGGTGTATGATGGTTGATGACACCCCAATAAAAAGAAGGGGTTTCTATTTATTGATGTCAAGATTTCAGGGCATTCCACCAAGTAGTTGATTGACATTGGGGCATCGAACTTCTTTATGTTAGAAGAGTTTACTCATGCCATTGGATTAACTTGGGAGAAGGTAGTAAGCACCTTCGAGGCAGTGTCGGTCACCAAGAAAGCTAGGGGTGTTAAGATTTGCATTAGCAATTGGCAAGGGAAGGTCGAGATTTTGGCAATGAACATGGATGTCTCTAATCTTATGGTTGGATTGACCTTCCTAGAAGGCGTCCAAGGGGCAATTTTCCCCTTTGCAGATTGCATAACTTTTTTGTGTAAAGGCAAACAATGCATTGTCCCTATGTCTAGGGCCAAGTCTAATGGTACCAAGTTCTTATCCTCTATGCCATTTGCCAAAAGTTTGAGAAAGGGTGATGACGCTATTTAGTAGTTTTAAAGCTCGTTGAGGAGCTAGGGTAGGATGAGGAGGCACCTGCCCTCCCTAAAGAAACTCGAGAATCTTAGATACTTTTGTGCATGTTATGTTACTTGAGCTACCAAGGTAGCTGCCATCTAAGAGGGATGGATCACAAGATTGAGTTAGTGCAGGGAGCCAAACCATCGATAATGGTCCTTTATCAGATGGTTCCCCTTGAGCTGGTTGAACTTAGGAAACATCGAGGCAAACTCTTGGATGTAGGCTTTATTAGGCCCTCCAAGTCCCCCTATGGTGCTTTGGTCCTCTTTCAGGAAAAGAAGGATGGCTATTTAGGATGTGTATGGATTAAGAGCTTTCAAAAAGCTCGCAATAAAGAGTTGCTATCCCATCCCTTTGATTGTAGACTTATTCGATCAATTGAGCGCAACGCGTTGGTCCTCTAAGTTAGATATGAGAAGTGCTATCGACAGGTTTGCATAGCCAAGGGAGATGAGTAGAAAACAACATGCGTGACTTGTTATGGCTCATTCAAATTTTTGTTTATGCCTTTTAGGCTAACTAATGCTCTGGCTACATTTTGCATCTTAATGAACAAGGTACATTACCCCTTTTTGGACAAATTTGTGGTGGTATACCTTGATGACATTGTCGTATATAGCTAGACCTTGGCTAAACATGTGGAACATTTGAGGCAAGTGGTCCAAGTCCTACGGGAACACTGCCTCTATTTAAAGAAAGAGAAGTGCTGTTTTGCCTGCACAGAGATTTCCTTCCTCAAACATATAGTGGGCAACGGCCAAATAAGGATGGACCTTGCCCGAGTATAAACTATTGTGGAATGGGACCCCTTTCTAGGGTTCCTAAACTTAGATCATTCCTGAGATTAGCCAACTACTACCGTCAATTTGTTCCGGGCTATTCCCATATTACTACACCCCTTATCAACTTGCTAAGAAAGAATCAGACATGGACTTGAGATGAACTATGTGTGGTTGCATTTGAAGAATTAAAAAGGCGAATGGTAGAACAACCAATCTTGATGCTACCATATTACTCAAAACCTTTTGTAGTGGAGATCGATGCTTAGATCTTGTAATTGGAGGAGTCCTTATGCAAGAGAACCATTTGTGGCCTTCAAAAGTTGGAAACTGAACCATGTCAAGTGATGTATACAATTGTAATAACCCGGTCAAAAAAAAAAAAAAAAAAAACGAAGAACCCAGAAACCGGCCGAACAACTCGGATGATTTTTTTTGCTCCAATAAGAATGGGACAACACAAATCAACTTTTTGACTAAGTATATAAGGCTAAACTGAGATTGATTGAAGAATAATCGAGAAAATTGGAGAGAAAATGAGAGGAAAATTTCCCGGGGAGCCGTGGCACTATCAACGAAGTTCAGGACAAATTCAGGCAAGTAATCAAAGTTTCTTTCGATTAGAAGTGATTATGGGGTTCGGAATTCATGATTTTGTTGTTCAAATGCTTGAGTTTAATTAAATATGTTGAATTGGAGTGGAAATGGAAGCTCGAAAGTGTTTGGATTTTCGGACTGTAGAAACCGGGTACAACCTGGGTTTCCAGGCAGAAGAGACAAGACCCGGACACTGTCCGAGTTTGATCGTGGTTGACTGATCCAGTCCAGCCCAACCGGCCGGTTCAGGAGGTTTTTGGACCCCGATTCGGGAACCGATCCTGGTTCCCGATCTAGGAAGCAGAGTAGAATGGTTTGGGACTGGTTAAGGGGCTGGAACCATTTCGGTTCAAGGGGATTTTTGGGGAAAAATGGTTAAACCGACCGTTTTTTAGGGAACCAAGGCCGGTTCAGGGGTTTAGGGCTTCGATTCAGTGGTTTTTCTCGATGGTTTAGGCCGGTTCAGTCTGGGTCTTGGTAGTTAAAGGTCGGTTCTTCATGGATTAAGAG